CCAGGCCAGAGTCTCCTCCAAGGGAGACAAGGGCGCAGCGAGCGCTTCCCGCAGGTACCCGCTTCGAGTGCGAGGGCGCAGTGGGCCTGGGGGTGCCACGGTGCCAAGGATGGGACCTGGGTTAGCTTAACGCGTCCGGAGGGGCTGTGAGAGCCTCCAGCAACGCCAGCGAGCCCTCAGTTCGCGTGTGCGCGCGCCTGCGTGTGCGTGTGTGGTCACAGGTCTGCAGGGACACAGGACCAAAGCACAAAGTACACACGCAAAGTACAAAGTTCAGAAGCCGAGGGCAAGGGCAGAAACGTTCCTCGCCCCCTCCCAGCTTCCGGAGAAGTTGAGTCTCTCGCCCCCTCCCAGCTTCCGGAGAAGTTGAGCGCACACCCAGGCACGCCTGTGTTTCTGGAGACCTCCCCCGGTGCAGGCGGCCGCGTTTTCTACTGCATCGCAGTCCGCAGGGGTTGGAAGCGCTCCTGCCCTGTTTTCAGGGGCGTCCCCGCCTCCTGAGCCCCGGTCCTCTGCGGAGGGGCCGCGCACTCAAGTTGGCCGGTGTGGGCTTTACCCTTCGCTCTCGGCGTGGACCCCCCGGGCCGTGTCTTCCTTTTCTTTGATTCCCTCTCGTCCCAGCTGGAAAAAAGGCTCCCGGAAGGGTGACCTGGTGTCTGGATTCCACTCCCCCTCCCTCCCTAGCCAGCCCCGCGAGCTGAGCTCCAGGCAGGGAGAGGTGCGGGTGCCTGGGACACGGGCTGACTCCCTGGGCGGTGGCGGTCAGTGGTCGAGCGTCCTCTGTCCGTCAGGGGCCCCCAGCGCCAGGAGGCGACACTGGATGCAGTGGCCATCTCCTCCTGCCACCAGGCCAGGGGGAACCCAGGGCGCCTCCCGGGTCAGCAGAGCCAGCTCTCCACCAGGCGGACCCACCTGACATCCCAGGCTAAGGAAAAAAGGGCTGCCCCACCCCCATAGTCGGATGGCAAGTGTTGGGGTGCAGCCCCCGCCACTAGTGTCCCATGTTCTGCCCGAGTAGGCCTCTCTCTTACTCACTGCTCTTGGGCCTGAAGCGGAGCCAGCAGCTCAGTGAGGGCTTCATTCTGAGGTCCCTGGCGTGCACCACGGAAGCACAGCAGGACCACCCACCCACCTGCCCCAGCTCCCCAGTGGAAGTCCTGAGATGGCAGATTAAATACTCCGGGGTCCTGAATTCCACAGATGAACTGGGTCCCCCACGGCTATGGCCAAGGGGACGGCCCATTCCCTGGTGGCACCGTCTGAAATCAAGCTGCTTCTCTGGCCGCAGGGCCCAGCTCACTGCCCAGACACAGGAGCACATCGCCCTGCGCACGACTGGGTGGGCACGACTGTGAGGGATGCCACCCCGTGCCTCGGGCCTCCTGCACGGGCTTGGGCCTCCCCACTCTGGGTGGACAGGCTACTTTGGCCCCTCAGCCTCTGGGGACTGCTGCCCTGTTGTCAGTACAGTGTCAGGACCATCGGTCAGCCAGCTCCTCCAGCACCAAGACTCCCCTGTGTCCTCATTCTCCTGGGCCATTACGGTCGGCCAGGGCGCAGCCTTTGCTGGAAGGCCGTCCAGTCTGGGCTCTGGTCAGGGATCGATGTCCCCCAGGCACCTGGCCTCACCTTGCATTGGGACAGCCTCTGCAAGATGGAACAGGAAGGGTCTGGCTTTGCCTCTGTCACCTCCTCCTGGTCCATCATGTCCTCCTGGCCAGCCCATTCCTGGTTCCTGCCGGGAGCCCAGCCCGAAGGGGACCTGAGAGATTCTAACTTAATTCTAGTTCAGCCTCCCGGATCCTCTTGTGGAGCAGCAGGATCCCATAAAAGCAGGAACTACCTGGCTCAGCAACTTGCTGGCCAAGCCTCCCCACAGCGGCCCACACAGGCCAGAGGTAAACATGCCCGTGCCCCACAGCCAGAAGGCCTGGTGCAAGGAGGGGTGATTGTGGTGACTGAAATGGGAACTCTGGCTTGATGGCGCGGAGAGAAGACATGGACCGCAAGAGCTGCAGGTCGGGGACAACCGATGTACTCTTTGTCCCCTAGACATAGTGCCACAGCCTGAATCAAATAGCACCTGCTGCTGGCACTCTGACCTAGGGCTGGCTCAGTCACCTGTCCCCCTTGCTCTGAAATGGAGAGCGCATGTGACCACAGCCAGTCCTAGGCAATCCTGCCATGCCAGAGCCACCAGCTGGAACACACGGACACAACCTCTTTTCCATCTGATTGGTACAAGGTATGTGCTGCTTCTAGCTCCAGAGCGCCTTGGGTGATGCCACCTATGGTGATCAAGGTGGGAACTACCCATGTGGCTTTGACTGAATCAAGCTTGTTGATTTTTTAAAATAGCTTTATTGATACAGACATCATGTTGTAAGACTTCTCCTGTTTAAAGTGTCCAATTCAATGGTGTTCAGTTTAGTTACAGAGTTGTACAACTGTCACCATCATCCACTTTAGAACTTTTTTTTTTTTTTGAGATGGAGTCTTGTTCTGTTGCCCAGGCTGGAGTGCAGTGACACTACCTTGGCTCACTGTGACCTCTGCCTTCCAGGTTTAAGCAGTTCTCCTGCCTCAGCCTCCCAAGTAGCCGGGATTACAGGCGCGTGCCACTATGCCCAGCTAATTTTTGTATTTTTAGGAGAGACAGGGTTTTACCATGTTGGACCAGGCTGGTCTCGAACACCTGACCTCAGGTGATCCACCCGCCTTGGCCTCCCAAAGTGCTGGGATTACAGGCATGAACCACTGCACCCAGCCCCAAGCTTAGAACGTTTTCATCACCCTAAAAAGCAAATGGGGATACCCCTCAGCAGTCACCCCCACTGCCCCCTCCCTCCAGCCCCTAGTGACCACTCATCTAGTCTCTGTCTGTATGGATTTGCCTCTCCTGTACATTTCATAGAAATGGAATCATTCAATGCATGGCCTTTGTGTCTGGCTTTTTTCACTGAGCATAACATTTTCAAGGCTTGTCCATTTTTTAATGTGTATCGGCGCTTCTTTCTTTTTTACTCCCGAATACGGTCCATTGTATAGTCTCATTCATTCTAATGTATCCGTTGTTTGGATATATGACATTTTGTTTGTCCATTCATGAGTTGATGGACAACTGGCTTTTTCCCACTTTTTGGCTATTGTGAATAATGTTGCTATGAACATTCATGTCTAAGTTTTTGTGGACATTTGTCTCCATTTCTCTGGGGCATACGCCTAAGAGTGGAGTTGCTGTTTGACCTTTTGAGGAAACAACAGACTGTTTTCCAAAGTGACTGCACCATTTTCCCTTCCCGCTGGCAGTGCACCAGCGTTCCGCCGCTCACATCCCCCACAACACAGTGACTGTTGGGCTTTTTATTGCAGCCACCACAGCAGGTGTGACGTGGTATCATTGAGGTGTCAGTTTGCATTCCCTAATGATTCATGATGCTAAGCTCATCTGACATTGATTATCTTCACTGGAGGAATGTCTGTTCAGTGCTCTCACTATCTTGGTAGTGTCCTTTCAGACATAAAATTTTTAAATTTTGGTGAAATCCAATTTACATATGTTCTCCCTTTGTTGCTTGTGCTTCTGTTGCTCAATTGCTTGATGGAGGATGGGAGCTGCCTGGCCTCCTGGGTCATTAGAAAGGAAACCTCTTGGTGGGCACGGTGGCCCACTCCTGTAATCCCAGCACTTGTGGGAGGCCGAGGCCGGTGGATCACTTGAGGTCAGGAGTTCGAGAATAGCCTGGCCAACATGGCAAAACTCCCGACTCTACTAAAAAACTACAAATATTAGCCGGGCATGATGGTAAGCACCTGTAGTCCCAACTACTCAGGAGGCTGAGGCAGGAGAATCACTTGAACCCGGGAGGCGCAAGCTACAATGAGCCGAGATCACACCGCTGCATTCCAGCCTGGGTGACAGTGAGACAAGAAAGGAAAGGAGAGGAGAAGAAGGAAGGAAGGAAATAAACCTCTTTTCTGTTTGAGCCATTTCATTTTGGGCCTGTCTGTCCCAGAGGTTTAACTACACTAATATAGAGCATCTTTTAGTAAAGGTTTGTTGTTGATTTGTTTCTACTCACATGAGATGTCTTCATTTTACCCTCAGTCTTGAAATAAAATTTTGGTGCATGTTCATTTTTGGTTTGAATTGAATTATTCTCTTGAACATAGTGAGGCAGGAGAACAGGGTCTGGAGGCCAATTCACGCCGACTCCCTAGAACTAAATCGAATGGAACACTTCCCGCTGACAGGAACTGTCCTCTCCATTTACATAGGGCTACACCAAATAACCAATGGAAACCTCTGGAAGGTATTTACACCCCCAAAAAAATCTGTAATGGGGCTCTTGAGCCCCTATGCTCAGCCGCTCCCACACTGTGGAGTTACTTTCCTTTTCTTGTTCCTTTTTTGAGAAGAAGTCTCGCTCTTATCGCCCCGTGCTGGAGTGCAGTGCTGCGATCTTGGCTCACTGCAACCTCCACCTCCTGGATTCAAGCGATTCTCCTGCCTCAGCCTCCCGAATAGCTGAGACTACAAGTGTGCACCACCATGCCCGGCTAATTTTTGCATTTTTAGTAGCGAGGGGGTTTCACCATGTTGGCCAGATTGGTCTCAAACTCCTGACCTCAGGTGATCTGCCTGCCTTGGCCTCCCAAAGTGCTGGGATTGTAAGCGTGAGCCACCGAGCCCGGTCATACATTTGTTTTCCATAAATCTCGCTTTATTTACTTCCTTCTTTCCTTGCATCTTGTCCACTTCTTTGTTCAAGACGTCAAGAACCTGCATACCCTCCATCGGTCACAATAGCAGTTTCGCTTTCCACTCCATTTTATCCAGGGTAGTTTTTGTTTTTTGTTTTTTTTTTGAGACGGAGTCTCGCCCTGTCGCCCAGGCTGGAGTGCAGTGGCCGGATCTCAGCTCACTGCAAGCTCCGCCTCCCGGGTTTATGCCATTCTCCTGCCTCAGCCTCCC